TGGACATGGACCTATTCAATTGCGTTCCGCCCTTAAAATGCGGTTGCTTGAGGGTGGTTTTTCTGTTCTGGCATGTTCGCGCCACGTTTGATGGCTCGTCAATTTCAAGGACATCGTGCAAAGAAATAATTGATTATGGGCGACCACACTGGGAAACATTGACATTGTTGCTTGAAACCAGTTGGAACGCAGGAACATGGTTTGATCGGTGAGGCCAGTGGTTCTTTGCGCTTCATGAAGGCGAGGGATCCATTGGATCCTTCAAAAGACATGGTTCCAGAAACCGCCGGAAAATTATGATTGTTGTCTTTTTGGGGGGGAATGAGCCCGAAAAATGCAATCAGACTTGCAACTCCACGTGTGCTTTTCACACTCCATGAAACTGAGCCTTCCCGACCACACCCAACGCAAGCGCAAAGGTCTCTTTTTAACGCGCGCAGCAACAAGTTGCGCAGGCCTCTGCTGCTTTCCAAAAACCCACAAACTTAAACTGTGAGAGCACAGCGGGGCCACCGCTTCACCTTCCCAAAGCTGGGAACGAAGTGTCCGGTTTGCCGATGCCGCGGGGTTACCCGCTCGCTTTGGGAAAGAAGCAATTTTCCTTCTTTGCCTGGGCCTTAGCCTTAGCTTTATCCGTTGTTCTTTCTCTTTTGCTTTTCGCGCTTCATCTCTTCTTCCTCCGCGGCGCAGTTCCTGGAAATGACCCCTTGTGGCAGTCGCCTCTGGCAAGCGCTTGTCAACCGCTTCCAGAAGAAGCGCCAAGGCTGCTGCTTCTGCAGCACCAATGCCACTAGAATCAATGGGCACAGCGACTTCACTCTTCACACATTCAGCCCCCGCACCTGCAGGCTCATCAGCTTCACTCTTCACAAGTGAAGGCTCTGCAGCTGCAGGCTCAACACTCTTCACGCCTTCAGTCTCTGCAACTGCAGGCAGTGCGTTTGCACTCTTCACAGCGGCTGCAGGCTCACCAGCTTCACCCTCTTGATCTGCCGTTTGTGAAGGCTGAGCTTCGGCCTCTGCAATCTCTGGCGGGGCTGCCCGCTCAAGCTCCACCCCCCCCTCCACACCCATGCTGTAGTCCACTTCCTCTGGAACATCTTCAAAGACTTCCTGTTGAGCTGAAGTCTTTGGGCCTTGATTGATCTGCTTCCAATTCGATCTCTTTCTCTTCAACGGTTGGAGCGGGCTCTTTTGACTTCTTTTCTCTTTGGTCCTTTTCTGCTTTCTTCAGCGAATGAACCCTGAGCTTGTTTAAGATGAGCCCGGGCAGATCTCTCCGCTTCCTCTTCCAAACAACGGAACGCGGACACCTGTCCATGGCGCTACCAGACAAAAGGCCCAATTGGCCATGTCATGATGATATGGAACCCGTCAGAACGTTGAGTCTTAGCGCGCACCACCTGGGTTTTGATCATGGCAGGAAATGCATCCTCTACACAATCTTTTGCGCCCTTTGGTTGAGGTCACCCGTGCCTTCGAAGCATCTGCTCGAAAAACATCCTTCACCATTTTTGTATCTTTTTGTCATGGTGTCCATGAACTCCTGGATGAACAACTTCCTAATTCCTAATCTCCCCCATCTCCCCACGCTCATACCTGGGCCCCTCCCATTGATTGCTTCCTGCTCCTTGGGGTGTTCTTAGCAACCTCTTTCTTCTTCTTGCGCGTAACCCCTTTGTTTGGCTTTGCCATCCCGGCTTTCTTTGAAGCCTCTTGTTTTGGTTTCTTCTCAGCTGCATTTGGGTTGGTAAGCCATGGCTTTGGACAACAGCTCTTGGCTCCAAGAATCCCCTTGAAAATGCTTGGGAGGGGGCGCAAGTAGAAAGGGCTCTTGGACCCTGATGCACAACTGTTCCCTTCAGCCGGGTTTGTCCACTCGCCATGCGCGGAGCTCAGAGCTCTGATGGCAAGATCACCTTGTCCAGCGCAACGTCGCTGGCAGTCTTCATGTCTTCAACTTCGGGGCGTTGTTCAACTTCAGTGACCGAAGCACAAAGGGTAACATCCTCAATGTAAGACCGCACTTGTCCATCACATGCTCCATGTTTTTCTTCGAACTCACATGTATTCCAAATCCTTTTTATCCAGCGAAGATTTCTAACGCAGGATCACCTTCTTGGATAGCTGTCATGGATTGTTTCTGAGATCGCTCTTCCGCTCATCCACTGCAGCCGGCATCTTGGCGTCTAAGGCTGCTTGCAGAGCAGCTGTTGCGCAAAACACGCCCAAGACCTGCCTACACAAGAGCCCAAAGGATCGCCCAGAATTGCTTTCCTCAAGCGCTCAAGGAAAACTGCTTTTAACATGAAAACCCCTCATGTAAGGACTGCCACGCTTAAGTAGGAAGCGTGGGAAGCATGTATCATGAACAGATTGCAATATGCTTGCAGGATGCCATCCTTGATGAACCAAAACAATATTATCTCAAACCTGAACATTGAATAGCGGAATAGCGGCTGGCCCAGCAATTTTGCGTTGGCAACTGCGTCTCCTGGAAACACTGTGGCCCATGGTTTCTGTTGGAACGCGAAGTGGTGTCAGGCGAGGTGCCGGAAGTAGCGACACGCCGGGGGCACGGCGGCGCGCCGGGCGCGCAGCGAAGTGTCGGGCGCGCAGCAGCGACGTTAACAACAACAGCAGCATGCAGCAACAACAAACAGAAAGCCTCTCTCCCTCTCTCGCGCGCGCGCTCATCTCGCATCTTCTCACCCTTTCGCTTTTCCTTGCGCAGCATGTTGGCGCTGTCTTTTCCGGCAATGCCTAATTAATTTCATTCTGGGGCGGCGACGCCTTGACTCAAGTGCCCGCCAAAAGCTGAGAGAACAAGTGGCCTGCGTGAAAAGACCTCGGTGCAGCGCCGACTGAAGTTGGGGGATCGCAACTCCTTATGACAGACCCCTCAATTTCAGTCGGCGCTGCGCCGAGTGGATTTGGGGGTCTCTCCCCATGGACCGTCAATTTCCATTTTTCGGTGTCGTCAGTCCGGCAGGCTTGGGACCAATCACGGCTTTTCATGTTCGTTGCTATTTTCACTTGCATCTCGTGAGGTGGTACCCATGTGGTTACTTAGAAGGCAATGGGTGAAGCTTAGATGCAATGAGCACAGCCTGGCCTTTCAGACAACCGCGCACTGCTCAGGTGCCTGGGCGTGGATTCCTTCGCAATCTTTCCCTGGGGTGGAACCACAAACCTATGGCAAGCCCTATAGCCTGTTGAGCAAAACCGTGTCCTTGGCCAATTTGGATGGCAGCCATCTTTTGAACACCTGAAGCCACGCCACTTCAGCGCCAGGAGGGTCCGTGAGCACATGTGATGAGCCAATCAGAAGGGGTCATTGGAGGAAGCACAGCAAACGCGGCTGCTTTCCTTAGCGCGCGTCGCGCGTAGCCCGCTTGCGTCCTATAGCAAGTCTCCGGCGACTGCGAGCAAATTCAACGACAAACGACAATTGCACCAGGCTATTGCAGGTAGGTGGCTGCGATTTTTGAAGGTCTCATGTTCCTTGGCTGCTCAGCGCTTTCACTTTCTTCTGCCACGAAATTGATACAGCCCTGATCAAAGGTTGCCTGTGTGTAGCCACACGCGCACAGGCGTTTCTGATGCGCTTGTTTCCAACCACACTGTGCGTTGATAGCGCCAAGGCCATTTATAGCCACGTGGAGCCATCAGTCGCGAAACTTGCCCAATTCAACCTATGCCAGGTGAGTCTTGGTGCTGAAATTTGTGTCCGTGGAGAACTTGCAAGCTGCCGCTTAGCTGAGTTGGCGCGAGCTCAGCACACTGAAGCGGGGGACTAAGGACGCGGATCACATCCAACACTTGTAGCCCGCTCATCTCGCTCTTGCCGGAAATTGCTGCCTTGCTTCAACCAACAACCGTGAATGGCCAGCAGTGGGGTCTACCCTTGCGGAGTTGACATTGGCTTGGGTCACCGGTTCCCACTCCTGCGGTCATTTCATGTCTCCTTTCCTTTTCTCTTCTTTCGCGTCCTTCTGCAAGAGATTGACAATTCTCTGGGCTCTGTGACGGGTGGCTATTTGTCGTGGATTGCAGCGCCATCTGGTCGCAAACTGACAACTACCGGCGACATGATGTGGCATATTCAACACCGCCTGACATTAGGCTAAGCAAATCAATGTCTGGCGTCTCTGGGGACTCCATGGTTGGCCTTGATTCTTTCTCTGCAGATGTAAGCCTTTTGAAACCCCGGGGTTCCTTGCCCAACAGCAAGTTGAAGTGTTCAATCACTCTGCCCCAACGTGAAGTTCGCACCTGCAGTTTTCCTCATGCCTCGAGCCAAAGTAGTAGACCAAGGAACTGAAGTACAAACAAACAAACAAACAAACAGCAAAACCAAAGGTTCCAGCACAGTTCAAACGTCATGAATTGTATCTGGGGAAAGCTTGCGCATGATTTGCATTTTCATTTTCAGGACTGAATAGTGCGGGATTCTTGCTGAAAACCAGTTGTGATAAAAACCGAGGGTCTAACAAAGCTTCAGTCCAGCCAGCCTGCATTCTTTCAACTCAGTATTGGAGGGTGTTTGTGTGCACCCTGATCCTGATGTTCCATGAAATGACTCAAATGACATGGACATGAAAGAACCTGCCCACGAAAACTGAATTGAAAATTGAACATATGACTCCAACATGACCAGCCTCAGCAACTTTACCTAGACTTACCGCTACATTTTGCTTAATCCTGGCAACATGATTTGGATATTTTGGTGTTGTTGCACAACTGCTCCACAATTGCCACTAACCTGAAGTAGTGTGCTGCAACTGTTATTTCAAGGTTCGATGCTCGGTCTCATGACTTGCACGTCCTGGGTGGCATTCTGAACTCCGCCGAGAGACTCCAAAAGCTCACCTTGCTGTGCTGTAACACGCAGAACGGAGCCTTCAGCATTCGGCATTCCTGCCAACTTTCAACAGTGCATGTTGATCACCAAAATTGTTATGTTTATTAAGGAGTGAGCAGAATGCCGCAATGAATGAATGAATGAGCGAATCAGAAGCACTCACTGACTCACAGGTGTTGACAAAATGCTTTCTCATGCTTTTTCTGGGATTGCCTTGCTTTATATAGCCTCCCGAAGTATTGCAGGAAAGTCGATTGTTGAGGTTTTTGCCTCATCATGTTAGCCAACATCTGCCGACTCTGACTTCCTCTGCTCAGAGTCAAAAGCGACAGCCATTGAAGCCCAAAGGCTAGAGGCAGCAGCCACTGCAACACTCTTATTGCATTCACCCTGTTCTGTCCATGCAACTAGCTCATGGTGTAGCTCTTCCGAGCTAGGAGGCCTCTTTGCATCAGGCGGCCGCCAAGTGCTCTTATCAGGATTTTGGCTCTTCAGAATTGCAAACTTCACAGCTTCCCTAGTTGCCGGTCGCTGGTCCCATAAACTGACTAAGACACCTTTGAAGCCAGAATGCAGGATCTGAAGCACCTCTTCAGCCATCTGACTCAAGGATTGCACATCGTCTGTCTGCAGCGAAAGGGTCTCTAGGTTCATGTGGAGGAGACACACGAAGCCACTGTCTAGCGATGCCCTAGCGCCGCGCAGCACAGAGAGCTCATCTCCTTGCACATGGATCTTCAACACATCAATGGGCCCACGTGCAGGCAGGTCAAAGAGATATGTGTCCAAAGTTTCCGAGCGCGTTGTTTTCACAATGCAATTCAAAAGATTGTTGGATGCTTCACCCGCATATCTCTCCTGACATCGGTGGAAGGTTGCCAGTGCCATGGAATGGCTGGGATAAGAGATCTCAATGCTCTCCCGAACCTCTCTCATGGCCAATTCCTCCACAAGGAGAGAAAAGTCAATGTTTCTCATGGAGCCTCTCGCGCTCGTTTCATATCTCCAAGCCTCTCGCAAACTTTCTGCGGATCTTTTGAATGCAGCTGCGGCTGTTGGAAGGGCTTCAAAACCACGAAGCTCAAGCTTTGGGCCAGCCCAATGCGAAAGAAGCACAGCGGCAGCCCAGAGCAAGCAATCCCCATAGCTAGCACCGATGTCCCACACCCGCACTGCCGGCCATGTTCCACATACAATTCTGTCAATACCATCACAACTGCCAAGGGCTGCCATAGCTAGAATTACAAACAAGAATCCGGGAGCATAGCACATTGGTTGACCTGTTGTTCTGACCATGTTGCTTGCAGCGTCAAAGCCAGAGAAAATGTGTTGCTCAACCAAGGGCAAATCAGCGAAGCGCTGCGGTCGCGCGACAACCTCCGCCAAGCGAGAGCCAGGAAAATGCACCGTGTCTGCCATGTAAGCCCCTGGATGAGTCAGCACCACTCCAGGCCAAGACAAAGCCTGCAGCAGATTTACTAAAGGAACCTCCACTTTAATCAGCAAAGAAAATGGATGGGTGAACAGAGATATCCAGGCTTTCAGCTGTGCATCTGCAAGAAGGATCAACTGCTTAGCTTCAAATCCAAGAGGTGAAAGTTCTTCAGCACGAGGCAAGTCAACCTTACGGAGGTTGTGGTAGTTAACAAGCGAGACAAAGGCTGGCATAAGCTGCCAAAGCACTTGCTCCTCTGATTTGGCGACGCTGCTTGAAAGCTTCATGACCAGGTCAGTGGGTATTCGGCCATTTGACTCAGCCTGAATTGCAGTACTGAGCGTGTTGCTCCACCGCATTGTTTGGTCGCCTGCCATGACACCAGGCAGGCGCTTGTCAGCCAATTCCTGAAAGCCTGGATCCCAACGGAAAAAGTCTAATGTGAGAAATAATGGCCAACCAGATGCCAAGATTTCTTCCAATGTCACAGGACTACTGAATAAGACTTTGAGTAGGTATTCCGCACGATCATAATCTTGCACCTTCCTTTCCATTGACCTGTTCGCAGTCGTGATGTGCACCAATGTCAGCATGCTGGCAAGCACTCCACCTAGCAAGCACTCATGTGGATTGGCCTTTTCCAAAGGCGTGTCACTTAAAGCCTGGAAGGATCTGAAAAGGGACACGGTTTGACGCAAACGCTCCCAGAAAACGCCCCTGCCAACACAGGAGAAAAAGGATCTCGGAGGTTGATCTGGCTTGGCAATGCAGCATAGTTGGTAAAGCTGGGGACGGTTCCCGTTAGACCAACATTTTTGGCCTGGTAAGGCGCCGGAGTCCCACTTCACACAACACATCTCAAAGGTCCTCGTTTCCGACCAGCAGCTACTGACGTCTGGATGGGCAGCACCCCAAAATACAGCATGCGTAAATGTCACTTCGTTGACAGCAAGCTTCTTCGATGCATTCGATGCAAGAAGCACGTTCGGAATACAAAGCATCATGCCATACTTCCACGAGTGAGACTTGTAAAGGTGATCCATCACCTTCCTCCGCCCCTGGCAATGTGACTGGCCAAATGGGTCAGGTCAGCGAGTGCCACTAAAGTATTGAACTGAATGTCCTCTTCGGTTAGCCGGCAACACAAGTAACAATTATAAGAGCCCATGAGGTCATGGATGCAAAGGGCATCAACTTGGAGGTTATGTATGTCTTCTGAGAATAGCGGCGTAGCGCAGCTCATCTCAAGTCTCAAGCTGTTGGTTCATTATCTCATGCCCCAAAATTAAAGGATACGATCTAAACAAAAACGATAAAAATGTTTCGTGTTTTTTGCGTCGGTAGGTCGGTAAACGGTTTTGTTGCAACGGTAACTGGTTATGATGTTTCTTGCGTCGGTAACTTCATCGGTGTTTTCTGCATCCGTTTGTCAGTGTTTTTTTTGCGACAGTGCACGGTATTTTTTGCGTCTGCAATTGGTGTCTTCTGCGGCAGTGGTGTTTTCTGCGACAGTAATCGGTGTATACCGGTGTGATTTGCGTCGGGAAGCGATGTGACGGCCACAAATAGCACGACCAGCTGCATCCATACAGCCAGCGCTGCTACTACCACTAAACTGTTGCTAGTAACAGCGCCGGCACTAAACCAGCACTAACACTACCACTGCCACTACCACCACCACCTATATGAAAGTTAAAACTCTCGTGAACTGTTCGTGAAAAATGACCTGACTCGATGAACGCGATTGCTCGAACGCGAATGTTCGAATCGCCCTCCGCCCCGCGGCCACGCGCCCTTTTCGCGTGAACCTTGAGCCACGTTTATGTGGCGAGTGAAGTCTCTTGTACACTTAGTACACTTCTCAATTTGTGCGATCGAGGCGCGCGGACGGCCAAAAACAGACATCCGATGGCCTGCAGCCTAACGAACATGCTCTGGTCCGAGTGAAGCCCCTTCAAAAGCCAAGCTTACTTAGAAACACTCGTTAAAGTATGGTTGCACTAAAGAGGGAGGACCATGGTGTCAAACCTTCACACCCCCCCCACAACCAAACTTTCGGGTGTTGGCCAATTCGAAGGCCTCCTGAACGAACTTGGAGTAGTACTACCCTGGCTTTGTTCAAGCTTCCTCGGCTCATAGATGCCAAGCTGGAGCGATCGAAAGCACTCATGCGCTTATGCTTCAAGGTTCTTTCAAACTCTTATGAACAGTTTTAGTGCAAAAACTTCCAAGCTCAAGAAACGAACTTATGGCTTATGCACAAACCGTCACAAACCCTTGAGGTTATCATTCGTATTATGTGGTTATCAGCTGTACTGATCTATCTCAGAAAACATTGAAGCAATGGCGGCATGGCTTCAAGATCCGATCACAGTGCTGGATGCAGCGAACCTGCCCATCCTCTCCAATGTGATGGAGATGCGACGGATGCTCAAAACGGAATCCGACCTTATGGTCAGCACTGACCAACCCGGCCGGAAGACATGTCCTGCACATCCGAATCCCGCTCACAAGGCTATACCTCGTGTGATGCTTGAGGATGGTACAATTCTCCCGATGGACCCGTTCTCCCGACTTGATCGTGATCTTGTACTGGACCTCAAAAATAACTTCAGCCTGATTCCGTCCTGGCGGAGAGAACGAAGGAGGATGCGGGCTCGCTGGAGAATGAGAAGGAAGATGTGGCGAATCTTCGGTAGTAGCCACGGGTGATGGCTCGACCTCACTCGAAGTCGGCTCTGCCTTGACATGCTCCCACTCTTCATCATCAAGGCCTGGGCTGGAACTGCTCATGCCCTCTGGGCCCTCTGTAGTTCCCTTCTTCTCACTTGCTGTGGTCAAGGACACACTTCTTGGCATTCACTTCAATCACCGAATTCACTTTCCCATCACCAATGAAATGGGAGATGCAGCCATGCTCGATGATGCAACGGAACTCAACTCTTGACCATAGCCAGCGGACTTCTCTTTGGCCTGAACTTTCACGTGGACATCCCAGCCTTCCGGGGGCATCCACTGTTACCACGATCTTCTTTGGTTCCATGGCAGCTATCGAAAAAGAATCGAATTGTATCCAGTTCTGGAATTTAGAAAGTTCTGGTGCTTTAGCAGTTATTTCATTATCTATAGCTACCGTGACGATCTACATAGTCACATCTATTGAATTCAGCTCTACTTATCCCTTCAAGTCTTCACTCAGGTAGCGACTGCATTCGGAGGAACCAAGAGGCCAGCTGTTGAACTAGCTTCAATGGATATACTCCTAGTGCATGAAGACTCTGGCTGTTCAGTGGCAAGTGGGTATTGCATTGACAGCTTTTGGGGTCAAACAGCATGCAGTTACTCGCGATCCGGAACTCGTGCTTTGCTTGGGCCTCTTCACTCTGGATGTATGCGCAACGCTGGATGATGGTGACGTGCTTCAAATCTCCCTCATGGCAGTACGTCTGAACCAGGGATTCCTTCCAATACGTGCATGGCTTTGCAAGTTCTAGGCATCGAACGTGACAACGCATCATGATACCTCTTGAGCTCTTGATCAACAAAGCAAACTCTGCCATGCGCTGCTCTCGGATTTCTGACCCGCGAGGTTCTGGGATCAGATTGATCACTGGCGAACCACCTGTACACGGAGGCGAAGCCCAACGCATCAGCATGACCTTTGGAAAGTCTCGCAGGACCCTGTCGATCCAATCACACAACTTCAAATGAACGACATTCAAATCATCGTCTTCAGTGACTGGCACAACTCGCAAGGATCCATGTGAATCTTTTCGAATCACCTAATCCGCCTTCGTTCGAAGTGCAAAGTTCCACGATCACATGTGAGACCTTCCCGTCAGCTATGTCGGACAAAATCTTCAGCAGCTTCAAATCAAACCCTGTCTCACCACTGCCAACCGATGCGGTTTCGGCATACGGAGAAGTTGACAATGGCTCTTCTGGCAACATCACCTTTTCATTCTCTAGATCATGCTGTACGGCAGCAACATCAACTTCAGGTACCTTTTCGTCTTTCGTTTGTTTGGATCGTTTCTTCAACTCTTTCCCACACTTGTTCTGCCAGGCTTCTGGTGCACTGATCTCGCAGATGCCAACCTGTTCTCTATGAAATTCCGTCAAATCACGATTCAAGATCTTGGTGAGGAGGTCTGCGCTACAGAATTTGCCTGAGATCCATGCCAAAACCATATGTCCGTTCTCTACCAAAGATTGAACATAACAGGTGGCTAGCGAGATGTGTCTCACACGGCGTGACAACCCTTGGTTCTGCAAGACAGCTATGCACGATTGAGAATCTGAATACAACAAAACTGGAAAGTATTCACGAACACCTGAACTTCCGATCTGATCAAACTGCATAGCAGCCAAGCCTTCTTGCTGAAACTTCTGAAGCTCTGTCGCGTCGGCAAATGAGTCGAGGTATTCCACTAAGTGTCTCAACCCAATGCATTCTTGTGCAACTTGACACACCGCCACGACTTCAGCTTCACACGAAGACAGTGTCACGCATCCTTGCAATCGGCTGAAGCTCTTCACAACACATCCTCGCCAAATGATGAGGCCACCACTGACAGATCTTCGTTTCTCAACATCACTACTTCCCCATGAAGCGTCAGAGATTTCGATCACACCATCATAGTTGTCGCTGTGCATGTTCTCTGCGGGGAATTGATGAAACAAATGTGCAGTGCTTCGAACAAACCTCAAATACCTTCTCAACATGTTCTCATGAACATTCGTTGGATCACTTTGTCCAGTGGCTAACAGGGAAATGAACCTGGCATGATCTGGACGTGTTTGGCTCCACCATGCAAGCTTTCCAACAATCCCTTTATACCTACTTGCAGCTTCTTCAGACAAGATCGTGATCGTTTCTGGACTGCGATGAGCATTCTCAAGAATCTGAAGAAGGTCTGGGGGAACAGGGGTTCCTTTCAAGTCTTGACAAAAAGGGTCATCAACAAACAACTCTTCCAGATAGTTAGGCGGTACACGAACCAAAAGTCGATCGGACTGATTCGGTCGAATGATGTCCCTTCCAAGGAACGTGATTCGGCCCCCTTCCTTACTTGCATTGGTGATCATGCCTGCCGTCTTGACTTTCAAGGACTCTTCAAGTGCTCCACGGATGTCCTGAATCCCTCGAGGTGACAACGATCCTACCAAAAGGTCGTCCACATATTCCAACACTATCGAAGGACTGTTTGATTTCTTTGTCACTCCTGCAAGGATGGTTTGCTCACTTGGACACCTCAAGAGACCTGCGTTGTCCCTGAGGATCCTTGAACACGTGTTCAACGAGATGTTTTTTTACTTATAACTTAGTTATGAATGGGACAACTAGACTTATATCTTAGTAACAACCATGATAAGTGCCGTAAGTTATACAAAAAACCGCTTGGAACTTATCGTACTTATTTATATAGTTTCGCTAGTTATGTTAAAAATTTTGCATACTTATAAGTAGAACGTAAGTATGACGAAAAAAAACAAGTTGTACTTATTTTCTACTTGTCCTACTTATGGGGATAGAGGTTTTGAGGGCTGTCCTGGCAGTTGGGCTCAAGCAAATATAGACTGGGGGAGTATATATATATATATATTATAGACAGCTGGCGACCGACATCCTGTACGCCTTGGACGCTGTGGGTGTGCTGGTCTCTGAGGTGTATAAGCTGGAAGCCTCTATCGGGCTCATTGGGCCACTCTAGAGCACTCACTGGGCGCAAGAAAACGGAGTGGCCGGAATTGTGGGAAAATTGTGGGAAAACTTTTGAGAGGTAGAATGTGGGAAAGACCCTGCCAATTACCTTTAATAAGGGAAATTGTGGGAAGATTGAAAAATTATGAAATAAATTGTGGGAAAATTGTGTGAAAGCCGAGACGGGAAATATTGTTTTTCTTGTTTTTTTTTGGTGGTTTGGGGCTGCCGCGCCGCGCGTTTTGGTTTTGTCGCCGACGCCGCCGCAGAGATCTCTATATACCCCAGACTTCCGGCGCGCCGACCAGTTCACGCGAACAAACAAATATATATATATAGATATTTCTTTTTTATGCGGCTGTATCTGGTTGAAATTTACATGCGGATAGAAAGAATCAAAACCTTCAAAAACAAACCATGTGCTACTTACCGTCGCACTTGTGCTACTTATTTGGTAAGGTCCATAAGTTGCATAAGTATACTTATGTTACATATAAGTATAAGTACCGTAACAGGACTTATAAGTAAAAAAACATATGGAACCATGCCTGTGAAGCAACTCTCAAGCCGTTCATCGCTCGATACAAGTCCAGGA